TAGATTGTATGATCACCTTATCTAAAGATAAAAAGCATGCTTGTGAATTGTCCTTAGGGCGAAAGAGTTTATGTCATACCACCTAGCCTGAGTTATAGCAAAACAAAGCCAAGAAAGACCTTCTAATGCATTTATGTTTAGGGTAATAGCAAGATATGAGGATAAGAGGTCATTTGGGAGGATGAGGGAAAGAGCAGATTTCGAGCTGTTACCATAAAGAGTGTCTTCCAGTATCAGGTGATGGTTAAGTGTCCAGTCTCTGCATCTAGTGTATGTGGGCTCCAACTCCGATGTTTCCACTTCTTAGCCGTGAACTGCGGGCAGTGTGTTTCACTCATCTGAGCCTCTGTTTTCTTAGCTGTGAACTGCGGGCAATGTTTCACTCATCTGAGCCTCTGTTTTCTCATCTGTGTAGAAGGGATGGTGATAGCACTCATGGGCTTCATATGAGATATTAAAATAAAAATAACCTCTAACACATTACCTGGTGTATAGTAAATACTAATCAAGTGCCAACTACTGTTAACACCATATGGAATAAAGGTTTGCAGTAGTGGCGTTGGTTCCCTTTGATCCTAAAGCAGCAAACTAGTTTTACAGTACAACTGCTTATTTAAAATAGTAAACAATTGGCTAAGAGTGGATAAAACTGCCCAGATTCCATAATGTTTAGTAATCTGTTTCTAACTCCATCTATTTTAGGTCGTTGTGTTTCTTTATAAAGTTTATTGAATAAAGTACCAGCCCCATAATATTACTAATTTCTGCTGCTTTTATCTTCTGTGCAGAATCCTGAACGTGATGGGTGATCAGTAAATTCTTGAAATAAAACAATAAATGATTGAATATTCTGAAGCATTCAAGCAAACTACAATCTTGGGACTTCATTAATAGCATAGTTGGGTAGCACAGTGCATAATTAGATAATGAAATTCAAGTGTTTACTGTTACGCAGCTTTACCACTTAAAGACTGCATGACTGTGGTAACTTTTAATACGAAGTTATGTGGAATGTTTGCTTTCATAGTCATCTAGGCCTGAAAGTACAGCTGTGATCGGCTACAGGGCCTGCCTTAACTAGAAGGAAGACTAAGACCCAGGTACGTTAGTTTCTGGAGTCAGTATTAGCGCCCAGGTCTTCTCATTTCAAGCCAGAATTATTTGGGCTTTTTCTCTTAAGGTCTGTCTGTCTTTGATCATAGTGATGTGATTTGAGGAAATATCCAATTGTTTAATAGTATTTTCTATAATAAAGTAAGAAATAGTTTAAAAGATACTTTGGGATTTCAGTTGTTTCAATTTCAATGTCTCTTTATTTTCCACAAGTTTGTCATAAAATTTTTACCGAAGTATATTTTATAAAGAAAATAATTGCTAGTAAGAGCTTGATACTTTTTTATTAAAGTATTCTAATGAAAATTAGTTTGTATAGCTATAAGACTATTTAATTTCATAATAAAGCTTGTTATATTAATTTCAAAGACAGAAATAATACCAGTTTAGTTGAGTGAATTTTTTTCTCTTAATTTCTTAAAAAATTTTATGAAAGTCACTATTCAGCCATTATCTGCTAGAATTATGTATTCTAAGTTATCATGTATCTAAGTTACTTTGTAATCTTGAAAAATGATGTTACTTTGGTTTATGCACGTCCTTTGCAGTTGATATAAGATTAGTTATATATTATGACCCATCAGATTACCAGGCTTCTTTGACATATGATTGAGAACCTTCTCTATTGCATTAGAATGAGTTCATCTATTGTAAAACTTCTGTCTTTCTTTTGGTTTCTCAAGTATTATGATTGCTTTCAAGATCTAGAAATTTCAGGCGTAGACAATAGAAAGATATTTTTTCATATAAGCTTAACCCCTTAAAAGTTTTTAGTTTAACCATTTTTAATTTTTCTGCAAATATTTCTAAGAAGCATGATGTCTACATTTATATAACTACGTCCATTCTGTAGAATGATATTAAAATACTTTCAGGGGTGAAAGACCATGCCAAACAGTTACTCCTGTTATAATAGTTTTAAGTTATAATAAAGCTTAAACTAAACTGCGAGCATTCGGATCATATAAAAGTTGAGAAAAAAATCAGATTTAAAGGAATGTAATATCCCAGTTCTTTAATCTCCTGTTGGCAGAAAGCTGAGAATTCATCAGATACAAAGAGGGTTTTATGCAGAAATATTTACAGAATCAAATTTAGAAAGATCAGTTGTCTATAAAGTAGATGCATGTTACTGGCATGCAGATAAAATCATATTGTTCTTAGAAGCTATTTTCATACCTCATAGGTAGGTTTTATTACTGAAGGTGATGTGACAATGAGTCTAATTTCAAGAGATTTACTGTCGACCTAAAGAGACAAACTAGATTCATGAAAAGATACTAATCAAAGGTAAGCATGATTAGAAACTGGCCTATATTAAATATAGAGCACATACTATTGACCCGTAGTTCCCAAACTCAGGCAGCAGAATCACCTAGCCACGTTTTTTTTGTTTTGTTTTGTTTTTTTAATGTATATTCCCAGACCCTATCTGAGTTTACTGACATGGAAATTCTTGGACTTAAAATCTGTAGTTAAAAGAAAATTTTCTCCAGTGATTCTCAGGGATAGCCTCAGGGAGATGGATATATGGTGTTAAGCCATAAATGTTGTATGCATGTGCGTAAGTATTTGAGATCATTGTGGACACTTCACAGAGGTAGTGGATTTGAGATTGTGCTTTGAAAAACCGCAAGGCGTTTGGAAAGGAATAATACTGTGAGCACAGTTGCAGTTGTGGGAGTAGAAAGTTCAGGGGCATGATTAGTCTGTTATAAAGCAAACGATTCCTAAAGCAGGGAGGTGGAACGTTAAGGCTGAGGAGGTAGATTAATGACAGCAAGGAGGTTCTGGGAGACTAGGTTTTATCTCATAGGCAGTGGAGAACTCAGTAGCTGAAGAGTTTTGTCCAAGGAGATTATATATGTAAAGCAAATTTGGAAGAATACATATCCTGTATTACTATGTGGGGTTGACTGGAAGGCTGGGGACTAAAGGCAAAGTGAACAGTGGCAAACTAGGCTGGAGGTGACGAGGGCTTGTGCAGACTGCGTCTTGTGCTAATGAAAGGAAGAAGAGTGGGGACCCAAGATGGCAGTAGAGGAAGAGTTTTAAAGTCTTGCAAAGAAAACGCAATCCTAATCAAGACTTAGTAAAATGCAGAGGGGAAAAGACATTAGAAACCTTGTGCTTGTGTACCTGAAAGGCGACGATCAGAAAGTATTTGCCAGTTTTAAAATAGAATGCATCAAGATCATCTCTTTAAATAGCTCTAAGTTCTTTAGAACTCTTCAGCCAAATATGGCTAAATCTTTACCCTATAGAAAATCGTATAACTAGTAAATAAATCATTATTTTCAGAGACATAGCACATTCCCTTTGGCAGTTGTAATTTGGATACCATAAAATGATTGTATTTTCTCATTCAACTAAACATCAGCTTATCTGTGTAACAAACTAAATCTAGTGATATGCGTGGACCCAAGAGACTTCTTTAATAAACAAACGTTGTATGTTAAATATGTTCTTTGCAGTGTCTTACAAATGAAGACAAATGACATTTAGCTGAAATACAAGGAATCCATTCAAAGGGTATTTTATTAGAGTAACCTAGATTATCAGGTATTTTTATTCGCACAATTTTGGATGTCATATAATCTGCCAAGACATAGCAGTTATTTCAATAACATGTCAGATTGATAAACCATGTTGGTATTCTTAATAAATATTTTAAGAGCTCATGCAGCGGGTGAGTACCTTGAAAGACTCTAAAGAGGATCTGGTTCCCCAGTCGGGCGTATCTAAGTCTTAAGGATCAGTGACTAAATTAAAGAACAGTGAATCAATTTTGTTGCACACTAGCTATTAAAACTTTAAATACCATCTGCCCAGGTTCATTACTGGTATCATTCACCCTCTTTCCCTCCGAGTCATACTCTCCAACTTGCTGTTTTTAAATTGCCTATGTCCTTTATTGCCCAAATCTCTGCCTTAGGTCAGCCAGAGATTGAACAGCATTGTGCCCAAGTCAGGAGCAACAGTGTTTCTGACCCAGGTTATACATCAACTCTAGATGTTGTGGCTCATGTTCAGTTTTAAGAAATACAAGGAGAAGGTGACTCACAGCCCAGAAAAAGGAAAACAATATGTATCTATATGTGTGACTGAAACATTATGCTGTGCACCAGAAACTGA